TGGAACAAGCGGGATAAGTCATGAACGAGAGATATAAGTCGTGTAACTAGAGATATAGGTCATGGAACTAGAGATATAGGTCATGGAACTAGAGATATAAGTTATGGAACTAGAAATATAGATCATGGAACAAGCTGGATAAGTCATGAACGAGAGATATAAGTCGTGGAACTAGAGATATAGGTTATGGAACTCAAAATAAAGGTCATGGAACTAGATATATAGGTCGTGGAACTAGAGATATAAGTTATGGAACTAGAGATATAGGTCATTGAACTAGAAATGTAGATCGTGGAACAAGCGGGATAAGTAATGAACGAGAGATATAAGTCGTGGAACTAGAGATATAGGTTATGGAACTAAAGATAAAGGTCATGGAACTAGAGATATAGGTCATGGAACTAGAGATATAAGTTATGGAACTAGAGATATAAGTTATGGAACTAGAAATATAGATAATGGAACAAGCGGTATAAGTCATTGAACTCGTATATAGGTTATGGAACTAGAGAAAGAGGTCAATAAACGAGATATAAAGGTCGTGGAACTAGAGATATAAGTCATGGAACTAGAAATATAGGTCATGGAACAAGCGGAATAAGTCATGAACGAGAGATATAAGTCGTGGAACTAGAGATATAGGTTATGGAACTAAAGATAAAGGTCATGGAACTAGAGATATAAGTTATGGAACTAGAAATATAGGTCATGGAACAAGCGGGATAAGTCATGAACGAGAGATATAAGTCGTGGAACTAGAGATATAGGTTATGAAACTAAAGATAAAGGTCGTGGAACTAGAGATATAAGTTATGGAACTAGAGATATAGGTCATGGAACTAGAAATACAGATCATGGAACAAGTTTGATAAGACATAGAACTACATATATAGGTTATAGAATTAGAGAAAGAGGTCATTGAACTAGATATATAGGTCGTGGAACTAGAGATTGTGGACATGGAACTAGAGATATATGTCATGGAACTAGAAATATAGATCGTGGAACAAGCGGGATAAGTAATGGAACTAGAGTTGGTGGTTATGGAACTAGAGATATAGGTCATGGAACTAGAGATATAGGTCATGGAACTAGAGATATAGATCATCGAACAAGCGGTATTAATCATGGAACTACATATATAGGTTATGGAACTAGAGAAAGAGGTTATTGAACTAGATATATATGTCATGGAACTAGAGTTGGTGGTCATGGAACTAGAGATATCGGTCATGGAACTAAAGGTCGAGATTATTGAACTAGCGGTATAGGTCAAAGAACCGTTAAACTGGCACTATAGGTAATGGAAACAGAGAAACAGTTCGTTGAACTGGAAGTTTAGGTAATGGAAACAGAGAAACAGTTCGTTGAACTGGCAGTATAGGTAATGGAAACAGAGAAACAGTTCGTTAAACTGGCAGTATAGGTAATGGAAACAGAGAAACAGTTCGTTGAACTGTCAGTATAGGTAATTGAAACAGAGAAACAGTTCGTTGAACTGGCAGTTTAGGTAATGGAAACTGAAACAGTTCGTTGAACTGGCAGTTTAGGTAATGGAAACTGAAACAGTTCGTTGAACTGGCGATATGGGTCGTGGAACTAGAGACATATGGAAGTAGATACATAGGCCGTGGGACAAGAGATGGCGGGCATGGAACTAGCGATGTAAGTCATTGAGCTAGAGATATACGCATAAAAGAGTTTAGAAAACATGTTTCTTCCAGAACTTCTCCTGTTCACCACGCCTGGACCATCCAGTACACGGCAGAGGTGTTGTCGAAACATCAGTTTATTCAACTGTTTGATTCCACATCTTTCTTCACTTTGAGTGGTTAAACTCCTGAACTACAGAATATAGAGGTTTGAAGATTGCCATCTTTTAACTGGATGATATTTGCTTATTGATCAACAAACGTATCCCCTACAACAAAGTCATGTCATGTCTACACGGCTTGACATGTTTGATACATTGTGGTAAAAATAGTACGAAGAAGTTCCACAGCTCTTAATAAATAATAACAAGGTCCAAACAGACATCAGGACACAATTTTGTCATTTTTCAAACATTTTCTGTCATTTTCCCATAATATGTATCCCACAACCTTGTAGCAGTCCTAGGAAACCTAGAAATAGTCCAGCATATTTCTATGGATAGTAGTCACCTACTTGGTCCACGATCGGTGTTATAAAAAAGATTTGGTAATTGACAGTAATGCCCTAGACCCCCCCCCCCCCCCCCCCCCCCCCCCCACACACACACACACACACACACACAACAACAACAACAACAACAACAACACCACCAACACCAAAAACAAATCCCTTCATCGATATAACGCTGAATTGTTCTGAAGGATCTATGTCCCACTGCAAACAAAACGATAGAGAGTTCCAATGTAGTTTATGGGACATTATGTACATACAGTAACCTCCCCTATCATCGTTTTGGATATAGCTGTTATGTAGTACGACTTGGCCAGGGTTATACCGTTGACCAGTTGCTCAAATGCTGGTTATAGTCGACTAGTGGTTAGGGAAATTAAGGTTGGTTATAGTGAACTAGTGGCTAGGGAAAGTTAAAGGTTGGTTATAGTCAACAAGTGGCTAGGGAAGGTTAAAGGTTGGTTATAGTCAACCAGTGGCAAGGGAAAGTTGAAGGTTGGTTATAGTCAACCAGTGGCTAGGGAAAGTTAAAGGTTGGTTATAGTCAACTAGTGGCTAGGGAAGGTTAAAAGTTGGTTATAGTCAACCAGTGGCTAGGGAAAGTTAAAGGTTGGTTATAGTCAACTAGTGGCTAGGAAAGGTTAAAGGAATGAATACAAGAAAATTAAGAGCATCTGAAAGAATGTTATTACTATAGATTTGATGAGACAGATTCGAGGGTATTAATTACATTGAAAGCCCTCGTTTCCTATTGACAACAATTTGAATGTTTCACTAACCACTAAAATTAGCCAACCTTTGAACGACCTGGGCCACGTGGTCCTGTTGGTTGAGGCGATATTCGGAGGTCCACGGCTGGTCACATTACCTTTTGTTTTCAGACAGAACGCTGTTGTTGGCCTTATGTTTATTTCATCAGTATTGTCGATTTATATAAAAGTTCCTTGGCATATTATTTTCAGAAATGAATTATAAAAGCTATTGTCATGCCGTAAAGTCCAATGTATAGTTAAAAGTTTGGCCGTGCTACGGATATCCTTAAAATATCTCCCCGCACGTGATCTTCCTGTTTGTTACCCGTTTTTCATCAATTGCTCCATAGCTACCAGGGGGGTTATTTGATATGAAATATTAGTATTTCTTGATATCAATAAAACATAATATTTAACTTAACATATATCACTGATATCTATAAACATTTTTTTTTCAGATCAAAAATTAATTTGTTGATGTCAAGAATATAATTTTAGATATACATCAAGAGTTCGATTTTTTTATATTAATCATATCTTTTTTGATATGATGTCATTTTCATGTCCAGAAATCAAGTTTTAGATATCAAGAGTTCGTCTTATTTACGACAAGAAATCAATTTAGTGATATCAAAAAACATTTTGATTCCAAATATACCAGTTATACCAAATATACCAAATATACCAATTAACTTAACTAAATACATATCTCTTGATATCAATAAATCTAATAGTTTATATCTACAACTGAAATAGCACAAACAAATAGTTGTGAAGCCCATTATATCATGACAATACCCTGTGCTACAGATCACAGGGGACTGTAATAACAATTGGGTGTGGCACAGCTTTTACATATAGGTATTGCTATGATATACGGCTAGAAATAAAATGGGAACTAGATTCAGTTGTAATAGTAATAGTATTTGCAATAGTAAATACATACATGTATCATGAACCATATGCATTACTAGCCGTGGCCTGAAAGCCGATACAGTTAAGTCAGTCTATTTTAGTCTTGGGCCGGTTCACGCACCACAGCAGCGCTAGCACACTGCAAAGTTACACGTACTGATATTGAGAATCAGAGTAAACAAGTATACACTGGTTGCAGCCGTATAATTCTATATTTGATCACGTGACTTAAAAATATCTACATAAAACGTTACAATCCCCTGTGATATGCAGACGAAAAGGTCTGCAACACAAGAATTGTAACATTATTGTTTTTTTATTACATACTTAGTAATAAATACGTTGTTTTTTTTGTATATGCGATACGACACAATTTCTCTAACCCATATCAGCCCTCGCCGTATCACACCCCAAAACCCGTATCAGCCCGCAAAAACCATATCACACCCCCTTTGGAAAAAAAATCGTTTTTCAATATTTCAAAAATAAAAATTAATCATAAGATAGTAGTTTTTGTATTAGTAAGTATGTAATAAACAGAATAAAACACGCCTTTTTCCATATAACACCCAGTATCAACCCTCGACCAATATCAGCCCTCGGGCCTTCTGCCCTTGGGCTGATATTGTAGTCTCGGGTTGAAACTGGGTGTGATATGGGAAAAGGCATGTATTATTCTCTATGAACAGTACACCCCTATGTCGTTTAGAAACGCATATACTACAGAGAACAGTGACATCGCAGATGCTACATTGTATATGACTAAAGATAGAACTAAACGGGAGTCGCGGTATGTATATAAAATAGTACTTAATATATGCTGTGACGCCCATTATATCATGACAAGTTCCTGTGCTACAGATCACAGGGGACTGTACTATCCTCGCACCATTTTTCTGATATATACATATATTTTACATGTTTGTCTAAAACGTTACATCTACTGTTTATAACACATTTCAATGCTGGCACGGTTCTGCAAGTGCCTAGTTTATGGATTACACGTGTGTGGTTCGAGTGTACTGCCAGGTACACCACACAGCCTCTGATAAAGTCTGGCGCGTGATGGTGCCGCCGCTGAACCACTGCGCATGTAGTCTACGCCAATTTCATTTCGGTTCCTCCCGGTCTACGTAGCCGTACATATACCAATAAAAACGTAACACTCGGTTGTAAAGTTGTTGTGAAGTTTATTTAAGGCCGAGCGATCTTGCTGCAAAAAAATTGGCACATGGGTATTTTTCAGTCCTTCATTTTGGTTTGGAAGACAAAGTTTTTTATGCATAAGAAATAAATAAGTTACTGGAATATAAACACAATTAACATTGAGTGGAATTTCAACAAATCTCTGTGGATCCCTAACAGACAAGACAGAAAAACGTACACATGCATACACTAATTACCGACAAGTAAAGCACTGCATCACACGCGCTAATTGGACGGGGTTTAAATCTTTTTATATCTTTTTAACCTCTAGATCTAATAAACATGGAGGGGTTTCAGAACATGCCTTTAATTAGTTTACCTACCAAACTGACACACTGCGTCTAGGTGGCTTCCGACGACATTCTTTACATAACATAATACATATACTACGCGTCTGCAATAAGTTTTGTTTTGTTTCGGGTTGGCCTAGAGACATACGCTCGTAAGGCATGTTGCAATATTTTGGTTATATTTTACAAGCCTACATGAGATATTACCTTGGCAACGCGATATCGCAGAATCAAACAGACGGAGGCCCACGTCTCTGATATTTGTATACGTCACACATCGCCTGGAGTACGTATTCGAGGTGTTCTTATCGATTCCCCATACAGTTTATTTCCGGTCCAATAGAACCAGATATTAAATTCGTTAACAAGGCCTCAATGTATACCAGTATAAGAGTACACTATCTACACCCCAATGCGAGCAATGCTGAAGCGGCGGTATTGCACAACCCAACCTTGAGCACCTGATAGAAATTTGATAAAGTTTCTTACCAAATAACGAAACGAAACATCTCAATATCGAGACAACAAATATCCATTCCATCCATATCTGGTGTGGAATAACACTAGGAAAACAACATTTGATTATGTAAGATTACCAAAACAGTTTTGTTTCCACGGGAAATCATTAGCCCCAAGGATACTCCCTTGGGGTTGACCATTTTGAGTATCCACCTCATTAGAGGTTACCAGTGTTCACTATATATGGCACTTGGTCAATATACGTTTTCAATTTCGTCTATTGCAATGTATTCCTTAATAACTCGCGGAAGGATCAGTTTCGGGATATTGTTCAAAATTGATCTGTCACCGGATCCAGCATTCAATGACTTCCGGATGGTCATGCGCGCTAGCTCTTGCAACGAAAAACAGTTGTGTACCCGTTCCCGGAGCCAGACGATCATTTTGACACCATTTGTTCCTGTGGCATGACCTGAGAATGCTAATCTCCTGAATGACCTTGAGAATGTTGGGATGCGTCGCGTGCACTGTTCGACCTCTTCAACTGTCAGCCGATAGCCACAAGTTACCAGCAGTTTTACCACATTTGTATCACATCTCGTGAAGGCGTCTACAAGAAGACTTCGGCCATACTGACCATGACTATCCACTCGACACCCGTGATACAACAGCATCCCTGCAATGTAGCTGTTTCCAATCGAAATACATGACAGAAGGGGCGACCACTGACCGTCAGACTCGCTCAGACGTCCGCCATTTAACACCAGCGTCCGGCCTATTGGGTCCAAAGAACCGTACGAGTTCTTCTGTGCGATTCGGTAATAGAAAATGGCCGTTGAAAATGGCGTTGCTTTGTACTGTGTTAACGCGTTCACGTCAGCACCCTTACTGATCAGCAGTCGTACGATGTCTTTGTTACCTACCCTAATGGCTTCGTGTAGGGGAGACCAGTCATTTTTGTTCTTTGAGTTGATCCCGACGTCTAGTTTACATAGTAGATGTACAACGGACTCCAAATTGTTGTGAATGGCGCGTTGAAGGACCGCGTTTCCAGCGTCATCCCTCGCGTTGACGTCACATCCCATCCCGATCAGCCATGTCGCTATGTCAGTTTTATGATGGTTGCACGCGATATGTAATGGCGTTTGACCCTTATTGTCCGCCAGGTCAGCACTCCATTTTGAGTCCAACAATAAACGTATAATGTTTTTGTAGCCATACTCTGTCGCCCAGTGTAAAGCTGTTCGTCCCCTACAGTCCACATAGTCTACACTCCGGTAACAACTATTGGACAAAATGGAACGAACCTGACTCTCTTTTCCCGCCTTAACAGCTTCCAATAGGAAGTAGTCCTCGTCAACGTTGATTTTGTTTGGCATTTTGCTGTATAGTACTCAGCAAAACAACCATACACAACTCTACAGCAAGACAGCACTCAGTGTTCTGGTGATTGTGATAATATTAGTAACTCGATGACGTATTATCACGGGATGATTCTGCGTTTTGATATCAAATAGAGAGAAATTTGTTCAAACTCCTTTTTGAAATCATAGCAATAGAGAAAATATACCACTTTTTCTCAGCTTAGTATGGTTTTCCTTGCTCAGGTCTTCATTGGGAACAATGAAGCACAGTTTCAGACAGAGTGTTGGACTTGGGAAAGCGAAACTCTTGTCAGTCATCCAACATGGTCGCTCATCTGAAAAGACATAAAAGTGAGAGAAAATGTACCTATGATACAAAACTGACATACTGTGGGCATTACAAACATATGTGTTCGTGAGAGACGGGTATATTTAACGTATGTTGATATCTGGGGTACGTACCGTGTAGAACATTGGAGCCAGCCATGGATAACTAGTCCTCTGTTGTATACACACACATGCGCAGTACGCTGTTTACTTTTTGGTGCATCCCGTTTCACGTTGGAACACAACTATAGAATGTATTTCCTGTCCTGGGTCTCGCTTGTTGCTGAGCCCATTCATTAGCGCCAGGGGTGCAGCGAAACTACGCACCCCGTGAGCCGAGGACAGACTGAACTATACTCCACTAACCCTCCCTGTCGCTGCTACTAGAGGCGGGAGAACATTATGCCAATTTCCTTTCCTTTTACACCTCGCCACGGATTCACTTTGCTGGGATTCCGAGTTTTACAAATGGGGAGGGGGCAGAGCGATTAACTGATGGGCACGCGCACGCGAGCGAATCGGTAAGGCTTGCTACACGCACGGTTACAGATGCTGGTAAGAGCGAACGGCAGATAACGCTACTAGTCTGTGCTGAGTTATTGAGATAAGAGGGTACTTCTATCTTGCTATACTTACAGTAGTACCATTGTCTCCTATTCTTTTATACACAAAACAATCTCTTTTCTGGTACAAAGTAGTTTTAATGTTGTCGACAAAATTACTTCTATACATAATGTCTAGTGGTACTACGACACAGTCTCTGGAGAAATATGGTTGGTCACGTTTACCCCTTCTACTGCGGGCAATAATACTGACTTTATAATTTCGTATCCCATCAATATCTTAACCGAGCATGAGGTATATCGAAAGTCTGCAAGGTTTTCATTCAATCAAAGGATTTTGTAAAAAGTTAAAGGAGTTCAAATGCTGACCAGATATTGTTCTAATTTGTTTGTGAGGCTTTTTATTGACTGACGAGGCAAAACAACCCCCATGAAACCAGATTAAGTATATCTGGTCATTTACACAATAAATAATCCCCACCACTGTCAGCAATATTGATAACATTGAATACTATAAGGTCGTAATATAAAGGTTTCTGAGATAACCGCGGAAGGGCATCAGGTGTCACGTGTGACCTTCATGATATCTGATCGTCATGTTCGGTAGACACACTTTTCGGCACAAGTCATCTTAGTTTCTAAACATTACGTCGTGAACGAGTCCTTAGACTGTACGTGAATACAAAACAACATAGATATGGAGAAGGTTTACCAGTGGCCGAGGTGAGACAGACTCACATATCTTACAGAGAGGTCAATACAAAGCGATTTCTTATGTTAGATAGTCTGACGGCTGCCAAAAACCACCGACAACCCCTTGATGTAAGGTAGTTAGAAAAGCCTTCTGGTGTTTTAGCTATATCCGACCGAGATTTGATCTGTTCTACAAAAACGTTGCATGAAATGTCATAATTACTGTACTACACGTGTAGAGCGATTTACAGAGCGCACAAACGCGGGCAAACGATCGTGTACGTCACATCACAAGCTGGCTGTTCCAACAAGAACATGTACTAACTTACTAGTAGCCAAATGTAACAGTTTCCCGTCCCAAATTAACAGATAGCATTGTGCTTGTTGCTCACACTCTAGTGTAATGGAAGAATGATAGTGTCTCATAAGACTCATAGTAGACTGGATGTAAAGGTGACTGATATGGCTTATTATTTTGTAATTGTATAATTGTACCCTTTACATGTGACACTTCAATGAACTATTTGAATTGAATTCTATTTCCGGGTTTAGCCTTTTTGAAGAAATACGCACTATAATTTCGCGGAAAAGCCATTAATATTATGCAGATACGTCTATACAATACGGCTACATATGTCTGTTTTATGGTTATATCTTTGGAACAGGCACATGTCGCATAGGCAGGTTTACTCCCAAGTTTCACGATAGCGATATACAACATAACATCAGTTTATTTGCCCGACAATAAATTCGACGTAACAATGCATCTTAAGTTTACAGCTTCTATAATCTTAGTTTGAGTCACATGGGTTTCTTGAAACTTTTCTGATATCGCTTATCGTATATTGACAAAATTAGCGATAGCGGTTACAACAGATTACTACACTGAAGTCTGGGTTGCCTCCCTTGAGGATTTTGCGGCATATGACTTTTGGAATCACGTGACCTATATACTCTACCCGCACTTATCTTGTCATCGAGCGATGCATCGTTACCCTTGATAAGACTATTACGTAGAACCCCACTGTATAATTATCTAGTACTTCCAATCGCTAAGAAATTACTGTCTATGTAGTAACACGAACTCTGACCTCAGAGGAAGTTCACAGAATTCTGACCCGACAGGAAGTCTGTATAGACAATAATAAGATGATGAGATGGTTTCCGTTAGGATGACGGAGGTGAAGGACCCCTAACCACAGAACACTGTTAGGCACCTCATGGGTCAAATAAAGCAGGTATATAGCTTTATGTTTCATCGCCAGGGTTAAATCCATTACACAAAAATATTGAAATTACAATATCATATTAACACAGTACAAAATACTACATGCAAACGGTCAAAGGAAGTCATATGCCATGACCTATGATTTAAAAGGAAATATTGTGATGAGTACTCATACAAGTGCAATTAACATATTGCTTGCCCTCAGTAACACAGGAAATTAGATTGTACCTACACTGTATTGTACCTAACAAGCAGCTGTTAGAATTATTCAATCAAAAAAGATGGTCTAAATATTGTATAAGCTAATTAGATTTAATATATTTGCCGACAGGAACAAACCACTTGATCTTTGACCTCCATAAACACACGGAAGGTGCGCACCAATCTGAGGATATGGCGGAACTGAACTTCCGCTGGTTTCATAACTTTCAACGGTCATAACAAACTATCATAAGTGTGTGTTGAAGACCTGGTACATCCCTGACATCCACCAGCTGTACATTGTACTTATCTTTGTCTTTAAGTTGACCCATACTGGTTGGTTTCATTGTTTGACATATTTTGAAGAAAATATTATAGAAATTGAATCATAAAGATACTGTTGCCGAAATGACCTTTCAAATGTTGTTAAACAAATTTCATCCGATCCTTCCGCGTGGCGGACGGATAACTTACATATGAACTGAATGTATTCCGTTAGGGAAAAAACAATGATTTATTTTATTACTGATTACGTTACATACTTGCCAACATTTTGAGATTTCCACGGTGGAGAATCTGCATGCTTAAAATTAAAACATCAATAAAATGTGTGTATACACTCCCTAGAAACAATATAACCCTTTAAAATGACAAACTTTGAGTTTTTCTTTCAGATGAAGTCATCAGATCTTAGTATAAAGGAACAGTTAGCAAATTCACTGGTTGAGAACACTAAATTTTAGGGTCCAAAATCGGGTGTCTCCCTCCTAAATAAGGAGGGTTGACAAGTATGCGATGGAATAAAGCACATTCATCAAGTTCCTGAACTTCGCTCTTCCGGAAAGATGAGCAGACGGTATATGGGACAAAACGGAACAAAACTTCCGGAAGTAGGCATGTCATTCGGTGATCTACATCATGTGTTGATTACGGTAACCAAGAGCACATGTACGGACATTTAACGTTGACGTTTTATTAGTTTATTTTACAATGTTCAATATTTATAGCCAAATTTATATACTCGTGTTTCCTCTATTTTAAATCTGATACTGTTGAGCTGATTACAAATTAAGCGTTCGGCTACATTTTACAGATATTGTTTTTTCCACTTTGTTTTATTCAAATTTGTATATCTTCTGCTATGGAAAGCTTGGCTTAAGTGTATCGTTATAATACAATGTATCATGTACACGGTATTATTAAGTTCAGTGATCATTGTCCGGAAGTCTCTAAAGACGGAAAGACGCACTGATCAACGATTTCACGGAACTAGACGAAAAATGATATTATATAAAGAAAACACCCCATAATATGTATTCAGTATACAATATCACAAGTTTTAAAAAGTAAAAATTATCGAATTGCCAAGACAATCTACAGCTTTCTAGAGTCAATACAACTAAATAATTTCAAAATTCCTTTTCGTGTTAGAAAATGGACTCTCCAACTGAATATATTTTCAAATGAAAATCATGACAATTTGGCGTGATTGTTCAAAATCTAATCATTCTGATAATAAAACTGCACCTATGGCACTTTTCCACATAAAATGAAAAATATATAGCTAAAACTGCACATGATGCTTATGAAATGAAAACTAACCTGTTCAATAAGAGTTATTTTGTGTATTATTCTCTGATCATTTCTGACTCGGTTACATTGAATCAAGTGTAAAAAGATGTCTGTCGTATAAACCTTTCTTTATGCTAAAAAAATTATGAACTCTCTACATTTCGATATAGCTGTTAATTCTTTAAAATCCGATACTGTTCTATAATACTTATTATCAAACTTGTGACTATTGCTAATTGTACTCGATAGTATTAATAATATTGTACAGATGGGTATATTGTGCAAGTGAGTATTAAAAGTACTTACGGTTAGTTCATTGTCCTCTGATCTCGTAGGATATTGTAACAAGGAAGAAACTAATCCCCGGTTTTATATCGGGTTGCGAAGTCCGGAAATCATGAATCGACAGGAGGCGGGGCTTGTCGTGTCAACGGACACTGGTCACAGACATCGTTTTAGCTGAAATCCAATTAAAATCCCACTAAATTGTCGATCAAAACTTGCTCGTTTGTACGAGCGGGGTTCATTTATCTTCTTTTAATAACTGACTATACCGATCGTAGGTCTTATAGATCTACAATAACATTTCGATATTGTCCGCTCGAATGCTGTCCATAGTGAATGTATCCGAAGTTGAACACAATATAACGCCTACATGTATGTTTCACTAAACACTAGTCTGTATCTACATTTAATACCTACTAATTACAGACGGTCATCTGACACGCGCCCACCGCGGGCCAGGCTCGTGTTTATAAATATGCTGGTTATGTTTATTTGTTTTATTTGTATTGATTCACCAGACTGACCACTCTGACATAGTACGTGTAAAACACACAAACTACAAATCCTCATTCCAGATAATGGGATTGTGGGGTCTGGATTGTTACGATAAGGGAGGGGAAGTCTAGAGATCAAAAGGTTAAATCCCATCCCCAATCAGCCACCTTTGGTTCGGAACCCCGTTCTACACTGTACCAAGATTACCAGCTTATAACACTGTGACTTCATTTACACCTATTTTTATTTCAGCACTTTTAGTCATATCTTACCAACGTCCTCTCCTATTGCAGTTTTAGCGAAACTTAAAGACCAATATACACAATTGTAACTTGAGAGAAGTACGATATTTCAAAATTCATATATTATTGTTTGTTTATTCTATAGAAGAGGTCAGACTTGGGCAATATGGCTGATATTCTACATATACAATCTACAGTCGGCTGATATTGTTCTTTAGACTAAACATTGGCCTGCATTCAGCGAAAATTTGTACTCTTTTCCAGTTACTATAAGGTTGTAATTTTGTTGTTCTATAAACTTGTCATTAAATAGCAGTATCAAATTCAATTAATGAGACTGTATTAGAATACAAGTATCACTGAGAGATATGATCAGATTAGTAGACTGTATCTATTAAGCGATAAGTTAAATTTAAATTATGAGAAACATAAACCTCTGGATATATGTTTAAACGCAGTGTGCCATAGGATCACAAGGATTTCACAAATAACTCACTTGGTGTTTACGTATTGAACTATTGAGAACGTGAAATGGTGATATATGTCAATATATAAACAGATGCTCGCTACAACGTTCATGGCATGGTGTTATATACTATATATAGTACATTAGTTACATTTGAAATACTAGACAGTTTGACGCATTGTTTTAGTAATTACACAGATGTTTAACTCTACCTTTATGCTTTCCAGGCCTGTGATTGTGAGGTAACTCGTATACAGCTAACGTACATTTGTACCTTCATAAAGTTTAGCTCCGTCACGACAGTCCAAGATTATAATATACCTTACATGACACCTGTTAGTTTCGGTTTACTAGAAAACATTACAAAAATACAAAAACCCACCACAATAAGCAGGAACAGGGATGTCTATTATCTACACCAAAAAAAGTAGGTGTAGCGTTACTCATGTAAAGCCTCGTGCATGCAGAGGTCTGTTGTAATGATTATCATGTTCCCGGATACACATATAGTAAAACTTCCCGTAATACGATAATACGATCATGATTGGGAAACTAATAATACAGACAATATGTATATATATGTATATTCCTGCAATGTATTGCGCAGTTTTACCTGAACTATCGGAGGTTCTGTAGTACCCGGATTATTGTGTACGTGCCTAATAATGCAATATTTGAAATTGAAAGCATCCGTTTTTGAGAACGCGAATGACTTCAGCTTTACGATATCTTTTTACCTAGAATGTTTACCAAAATGTTTAGCCCACATGGTCCGAAGGACCTGTCATAGCGCGGTGTCCATCGTCTGTCTGCCAGTCTGTCGGTCGTCAACTTAATCAAAAGGTCTAAAGTCATGGTATTTGGCTGGTAGTTTCCTTGGATGGAGCCTAACAAAGTTTGCGAACAAATATGACCTTAACGTAACATGTATACTTTAAAGATCTTAAAACAGATTTTCCTGCTGAATGGACAGGCCTGGAATCATATAATCACTTGCCTGTAGTTTTCTATAAAAAAGAGCCCGACAGAGTTTACAAAAAAAGAGACATTGACTTAACTTCAATGTCACGGGGTCAAATAAGTAAAACATTTCAACTATTTTCATCTGAAGAGCTGAAACATTTTATAGGCTTGTAGTAAATGGCTAGTAGCTTCCCATGATGTTGCCCAACAAAATTTGCGAAGAACAATTACCTTACCCAACAATACATCTCCAGCACATACGTAGGCACACACACATAGCTCTAGGGAGATACAAGTCAGGTGGCATAGGACTAGTAGTTAGCGCCTGGTAAGGCAGCTCCTGCGAATTCCTCAAAAATTGTATTGATTAATTAATGTATATGCTAATTGTAATAACTGTATATATCTATGTAATATAAAGCGCTTTAGAGTGGGTTATGTTACCTAGACAGGGCGCTATATCAAATGTTGTATATTATTATTTTTATTAGGGTCATGGGGATCAAACATCTCAAAATCGTCCAGAAGAATTGATGCCAGCGTCTTCTTGTTAGTATTCCACTAATAAGTGTAATTAATCTAAGTAACTGTACTGTTTCAATAAATCCATCTGCGTGATCATGCCCTGACTAGGTACACATGTAGTCTAACGCAGTAATACATGAAGCTATGTAATGTTATTATCCGACAGCTCTCCCATTCCCCCAAAAACACCTGGGCGTGGGAGATGGGTAGCATAGACAGTTATATTTAAGTATAGATAACATCCGTCACCGGAAAAAACGAACATTATGATACAAGTGTTCACTCTAAGGACCATGTGGGTTCTTTACTTCAGTATTCACATGCAATCACGCGCCTTACTTGCTACAACGAACGAAATATTATCAACCTGAATTTCTAACGGATGGTTTTCTGAGCCATAAATAATTCGGAAATTAAATGTGGATCTAATGATGGACTGGGTAGGAAAACCGGAATAGCTCACACATGGGTGTCGTTATGGTTTCCGACACAGAGCTATCTTTAAGAGAAACTGTATAAATCCATGCGATTCCCATGGAGTGTACACGAGTTTCGTGATAGAGCGTATACATAATTGTTCGGATATATGCGGCAAATACACGATTGTTCGGATAGCAAATACATGTACATCATGCTGCTTGTTCGGCTATATGCGATAAAGAAACTATTGTTCGGCTATATGCGATGAAGAAACTATTGTTCGGATATATGCGATGAAGAAACTATTGTTCGGATATAGCAAATTAATATAGCAAATTCACGATTGTTCGGACATAGCGAATATGGGATTGTTCGGATGAACAGTCAAACTTTCATAAATCGAAGTTCGAAGATTCGAATTTCGAGATGTGCTGAACTTAAGGCAAAGTCCGGTTTCATTCTTATAAAACGCTATACTGATGTTTAATTCATGAATCGAACTTTTACAAGTAAAATTTCTCGTTGTTTCGAACTACAATCCAGGGCCGATCTTAAGGGAAACACTGAAAATTACACTAATAAATCGAAGTACGAAGTGAACGAAAACATTGACATGTTCCGGTGTCAAATTAACACCTAAACATGCAAACAACAGCGTATAAATACATGAGATATGTATGTCTAATTACACTTAATTCAGTATCGATATATATTTCTAATCACATTTAATTCAGTATCGATATATATTTCAAATTCATTTTTCTTGTCTTGTGTTCTGTCACTTTATAATTACATTCGGTCTTCTGTGGAATATATAGGCTAAAAGAAATACAGCATTCATGAGTCAAAGTCGCGATGTTTCGAACCTTCCCCTGTTGTCCTGCAATGTTCTATTACAATTGTGTTAGTTAGCGAAAACACGAGTTTTCGGACAGCGAATACTATACAGTATTGTTCGGTTTGTGAAGTTCCGGATCGTCAGAGTCCAGTTCGAGGCTGTGTTGTCTTACATAACAAACAAACAATAGCCCATACCACAATAGATTGATGAAGTTATTTTAATATGTTCAAGCTGTGATATTGACCTTGGCATCAAGTTGTTGCCCGGACAGGCCATTTTTTCTGATTCCTTTGAACGGCCATTACTCTAACCATATTTATACATCCCATGTATCAGGGAAAATATTGAACACTTTGGTATGCCGATACACAACGGTATATATCGCGAATGACAAGTATATTTTTGTAGTATTGAGTATTTCCCCCTCAGTCGCCATATCTACCTGTACCAATGAAGCCGACCACCCAACCAGCTCCATCCCTGACTCAGGCGCGCCTACAAATTACTTTCAGATGTTATAACCTCGAAAGATTGGCCATGCTTGTCAAATCTTAATTTCAATTGAATAAAAGAAACTGACATTACACCTGTACCAATGACCTGTAATTGTACATCAATACCTCGATATGTAAATAGCCGTGAACCGCGGACCACATCAAGATAGGGATGTGGGCAGGGCACCCAAATAAATCACAGGTATTTACATGTAGTTACCATTAATAGGTATTGTACACCTGATCTACTGACCCGCCTACAGCGTACGGACATCGTACGTCTATTACACTGACCACCATCACCCCGCCCATGTCCAGTTTGTCCATTCCCTACGTCAGGCCAAACAAACTGTTGAGTGTGTCCGCTTCCATGTTTTAAATATAGGCAAAATTTCTTTGGAAAAATGTTGATTCTCTTGCTTTAACTTATTCACCCCTGACGACACATTTGAACTCCTCCAATTAAAAGGTTGGAATAGTTCATTATGAAATTTCAGGGGTGAATGAGTTGAACGGGATTATCTAACTAAGTCTATAATATACATATGTAGGTTGTGCAAGATCCATTGATTATATATGGTTTACCTTGCTGGAGCATTTAGCAATATTGATCCAAGTTTTACTTGCAGATTTTCAGCTTAGATTATTTTCCCTATGATGTTTTGTCCAAATTGTTTTCATTCATTCGGCTTTTCGTGTCAAATTTCCTTGAAAGTCTTATATGTATACATTTTTATAGCGATCAATTAGGAATTTTGAAAAAAAATCGGGTGATTCTTATTTCCTTAGCACGGCGTAAAGCTAATCATGCTTTAAAAATTTGACCCTTACATGTTTCAACAGAAATCCAGGGAACTTGCCCTAAAATATTATAAAAACAGCCCCCCCCCCCCTATGATAAAGCAGTTACAATACCACAGTTTCCAAATATTTTAACCACTTACGCAGGTATATCACTGTCTAGACGTCGTCCCGTCACATGGATATCACGTGGGCACAGGTTGTGGTCACTGTAGCTATCGTTCATGTATTACTCCATATGGTTTAACAGTTGTGTGATAATCAATCACTGAGTATTTTTGTCCATAACTCGTTGTTTGTCGATGTTCACCGTTGCTTTTGTTCCATATGTTAGACCCTTGTGATGTGATGGTCAATATACCAATTAGTGCTTACATTTAGATCTTTAGTGAGGGTTACTATACCGTTATTCCATATTTTACAGCTTTGTGATGGTCATTGTAGCATTATGTCAATACGAGATCGTTTAAAGCAAACACTCCATATCTGCCTATGTACCATTTCATCCATCCTTTTGGTCACTATAACGTATGTACAGGTTCTATATAGTGGTCAGCGTATCTAGGTGTCATGCTCGTCAGTGATAGGCGCAGTATTCGCAATGGTCAATGCAGCCCTTTGCCCAGACTCATGCTCTGCAGAAGGGTCAGTTTAACCTTTTGTCCGGAGCGTGGCCTGAGAGATACACATCGACGGCCTGGTCAGCTGTCCATCAAGTCTGCCATAATAAGATGTTAGATGTATGAGATAAGTGTATAATTATGTATATATAGCGTCACTATAGCGTAAACTGGCCGGTACATACTGATCCTATCCTCTACGTAAGCACGGATTCCCATTGTGTTAGAGTAGTTGGAGGTTTAAAGGGTCGTAAACGTTAAGTGAAGTTAATTGGGGTGTAAAGTGCTCTCAATTCAAGTATGTTCACGTCAAAACTTAGGCCTTTAATCACGTGTTTTTTTTTAGGAACTTCAGGAAGCTATTACTAAGACTTTCGCAATCGACGACGCCATCCAGCGTCAACTACAAACATTCTAGTGCCGTAACCAGGCCACAATTAGATTAGAAAAAATGACATTGATTTTCAGTTTTCATTTAATCGATTACATATAGTGACATTGGACTGGTTCGATCGCCGGTCACCGGCGACCAGGCAGCTAAACTGGTCACAAATATTGTCCGTCTAGAGTTCGGAGGTCCTGGGTTCCAATCCCCGTTTCTCTCTATCTCCCGTTACATAATTACAAAGCAATATGAAATATCAATACAGGAAATGCATTTTCAAAATAAATTAAAAACTCTCATCAGTGGTACTGAAAGCTGAAGTGGGGACCCGTTGCAGATATATGTGTTGATGTTTTCAAAGGATTTTGCCCAATGTACACTGTAAATAGTATAGCGTAAATGGTTCTGTCTTCAGGAACGACACAACCAATTATGCTACTATTTAATTTACACTCAATGAAAAAGACGTACAATGTAAGTCGCTACATACGAGCTTGTAGTCTATGTTGGTATTGGAGTCTCGAAGAATTTCGACAAAACATCAAGTCTCAGAATATAAAGAACTTGCTGACTCGACAAATCCAAGAAAACAACACCTCTCACTTGACTCGACAAATGTTGAACGCTTGACCAACCTTTCTCTTTGTAAAGTGACCATGTCCCTAGCCTAAAGGCCAGCTTTGATTGGGTCAATAACGGGACAGTAACGTTTAAGAACGAAGTAATATTACGCCCCAATACGTTGTATAACGGGATCTGCGTTCATTCGCGCTAAATGAAAATTAATGGATTTGACTACTCTTCGTTTATTATACAGACCGAGATGTCTACAATTCCTATTTACTTCTTATGTAATTTAACCATTTACAATGTANCCCCTTGTTTTGCGTGTTTTTTTTTTTTACATATTTTTCCTTTTTCTTTTGTTGGAGCAGATTTCATAAGATTTCATATTCCACAACGTATATATAATTTATTGATTTAGTTTGATCATATAATGTAAAATGTACCAAACTAAACTGTATATCACCAAGGATAAAAAGAGATATTACAAACTTATAAATCAGTTTATGATACTGTATATCTTTTAAAATAGACTCGCGGTGATTTTCAACAATATATCACGATTGATTTAGTTATAGTATATAACGCGATTGTCGTCACTCGTCCAGTATCAATATAAGTACAATGCATGTTATGAAATTCCTATTCAACAATACAGGGACGTATATGTTTACAAGTCTTTGATCAATATTACATTCTTACGTATCATCAAGGTTCAGTAGCTATTATCGTAGCATGTCATGTATCCGAGCTTAGAAATTACATGTAACCTTCATAATTAAGCTTACAACCCATCCAGATGGAATTACGTACATGTATCATGTCAAATTTATTTATAACAAGAAGAATGGTATTTAAAATGAGATAGTCAGAGGGCACCTGTCTTTAAACGCATACTCCATTTCTTAGCTGAACACGTGTGATTTATGTAGCCTGTTCAATACTATAATTGTCAATACCAGGTTTAAAGGCGACTCATTTGTATTCTGTTAAGAAAACTCCAGATGGGTACGTCTCAAGTCGTTCTTAGATGGATAATCGATAGAGCTCTGTATTCGATTCATGACTGTGTGCTCACATACATATCACTACCAAAGGACACAGTATAGGTTTTGAAATGCCATCGACAGCTTGTTTAATTTGACAATAGAACTTTATGTAGTGATATAACGAAACAGGCAAAGCCTGTCTAAATAACATGTCACTTATAATATTCCACAATTAACAGTCTCGTGTGAGTGGGAACTGTGACACATTCCTCTATTGTCGTATATTGATCTCGGCACTGCACAGTTCACTAGAATAATTATTTGTACTTGGAGTCGATTACCGTCGTACCGCGACACGTATTAACTTAACATATGTTTGTAACAATAAGCACTACTGATCGGCAACAATGTATTATTAACGAAGTCGGTGTCGGCAAGAATTTGTGTCTCTGTGGGAACCGTAGGTATAAGTCCGATGATTTGAGATTGCTTTGAAAATTTAGACGTTTTTTGTTTGTTGAAATTTTACATTATCGGACCATTCAAATAAAAATATAAAAAAATCAAAATCAAATCAAATCGATCGGACCTAAAGCTAAGATGACCGCAGGTAGACTTTCTTTCTGACGAGGTCTGAGAAAACAGATAATGCACAAATACATATATATAGTTAAGTGAATTCTATCTTTTTTTCGTCATTCGTGATAGGTACTTGTGGTCAGCATGGTTTTTCTGAGGAGGGAATTGTGTCAGCCTGAACAGAATCATGATTTAATGAATTTGAACTACTATGGAAGTTATACACTTCTATTATGTATGTAAATGATTTATGTTTCTGAAACAACCGGGTGTAATAATTTACATTACAACCAATTACAACTTCCTTACTTTTGCACGTTTGTGCGTTACTTTCTGTATCGTGGACAATTAAAATCTAAAACATTAAGATGCAATACTTGTGTAAGGAAATATTTATCTTACACCAGACTCAATGCACACCACGGCCAAGATTCTATACAACTACATATCATGATAGCTTTTGATTATCAAATAGTGGGATATACGTGTTTCGTATTTCTTATGCTCTGGGATACGCCAATCCTGATTCTTTCCAAGTTGCAGTATTCAATGATGAGGCATTATATCCGATAATAATACGCCCACCGACCTTTTCCAGGATTTTTTTTACTATATTCACAGTTTTCGACACGAGTATAATGTAACTCAGAAATGTTTTTAGTCCCAGCATAACAGATTTTCGGAATCTAAAATTTGTTTTGTCAAATATTAACGTGAATAACTGCGTTACATGTGTAGGCAAATCTACATTTAATTAAATGTTGTTTTATACAAAATACTTCTTTCATGTGTTATTTATTCGTCATCCTGTCATTGTATGATGTCGGCACCTTCTGACCAGAGACGTATAGTGTAGTAGCCTATTAAATATGTCGTGCACTGACCGACCCAACTGAAGTAGGCCTATGATGACCATCATGTTATAGCACGGAATTAGATTATCGAAGTCCGTGGTTATAGCATACATGCATACATGCAGACACTGTAATAGGAGAATATTCAAGGGACATTCAGACGGTCCAAATATAATGTTACGTGCACAAAGATTTCACATGTGGGCGAGAATCCGTTTGATTTTCAACTTACCTGAGTCAGGCGACTTCCTGTTAGAACAGCATTTGGTTCAGCATCAGCAGCAGCTGTCGACAGACAACAAAGAGACCACCGGTTGTAGTACGTAAAAGATCCACGACATTACCAACATCAAATGCTTCGCTTGGTCGTTAAATGACGATACAAATGCATACGACAATGGAAGTAGGAAGTATGTGTGTTAAAGCGTATTCATTGTTGACTTTAAACAATGTTTACACATGTGATTCATCTAAAAATAGAACGTTATCTGAGGTTTTTCCTATACATTTTAAACCAATGAGGAGTCTCCGTTTATTCATATCGTTCTGTATGACGTCATAACCTGTGTGATATTTTGTCATTTCCTTGTGCACTGAACACAAATACGGTTTCCATTCTATATCAACATAGGAAATCAAAATAACACGATGGGGAGTAAACTAGATGGTATGTACTTAAGAATAATATACACATGATTTACGAATTCCGAGCGACAAATGTTGATTTGACACAAATCATGTCGATGTTTATTTGTTTATATCCCCAACACAACAGCCCCCCTCCCTTCACCTGTTCACTGTCTTGGATTATTGTAGTATCTCGCAAAATGTTCCTGACGGAAGCGTCGCCAAGGGATAACGGGCATTGTCGGGGGGGAAATCTATAAAATTAAACGAGAACAGTCGATATGTTCCTATGTTTATTGACACATTTTGGAGCATTCCTCAGTTTAGTCACAGGCGCTTGTATCTGGCATTTAATAGCTCAGGTCTTACATACCAGATACAAGCGCCTATGGTCTATAGTACTAATATTAATATACCCGGCCTCCTATGCCCGACGACGCAATATATAAAATAATTCTCGTCGTCAGAAAGCTACATTATGACTCATTATGTACAAATGGGATTTTGTGTGATAAACTTGGTGTAATTGGCATTGAGTTGGTGGAGTGGTTCACATCATACCTTACCAACAGAAAACAATTAGTCAATATCAATAATGTGAACTCGGATATTTGTAATATAACATGCGGGGTACCCCAAGGGAGTTTATTGGGACCGCTTCTTTTTCTCATTTATGTAAATGACATGCGGATCAGTATTGACCCAGGATGCAAATTATTTCTGTACGCAGATGACAGTGCAATTATCTTCTCGCACAAAGACCCAAAAATTATTTCAAAATTTCTATCGAAAAACTTAGAGTCATGTCGAGATTGGCTAACAGATAACAAATTATCCTTACATCTTGGAAAAACAGAGAGTATTTTGTTTGGGCCCAAAAGGAAACTTTCCAAATTACCTGAAGGCTCATTTTCTGTTTCGTGTTACGGTAATATAATTATGCCTCAGGTGTGTGTCAAATATCTTGGTATTATATTGGACAACTTTCTATCTGGAGAACAAATTGTCCAAAATATTATAAAAAAAGTGAACCAGAAATTGTGGTTTCTATATAGACACCGTGACTGTCTCAATTTTAGATCTAGAAAAACCCTGGTGTCGGCACTGATCCAATGTCATTTTGACTATGCTTCTAGCTGCTGGTCAGAAAACATATCCAAAAAACTTTGACAAAAACTACAAATTACACAGAATAAAGAGGTCAGATTTATTCTGAAACTTGATAATAGATCAAGATCGAGTCACCCATCGGGAATTGGAACAAGTTAATATGTTGGATGTTAGGGGCAGGGTGAAACATCTCCGTTTTAACCATGTCTTTAATATTCAACATAACAAATGTCCATCCTATATGAAAGAAAATTTTACTAGAACAGAGAAAAAACTCTTTTCCAGGAACAGTGATCTGAATTTCAACATTCCTTACATAAAAGGTGTGGAATCATCATCTTTTTTCTATAATGCTATCAAAGATTGGAATAACTTACCACATTCAATAAAATCTGTCGATCACAAGATGAAATTCAAAAGCGAGATAAAAAAGGACTTATAAGTTTTGGCAAAAAATGATTTTGAGCAAGAATTTGTCTTCTAAAGGTAATTTTTATTCTATCCCAGTGGGTGACTCTAAACTTCTTCTAAAAATATATATATTATTACCAAAGTTTTAACTAAAGTACCAATATAATATGTGCTTTTTATAAATGTTATGGAACATTTTATTACCATCATCCTCAGTCTTTATTTTATTAAAAGTCATTTTTATATATTTATTATACCCCAAATTGCTATAATTTGTTAGACAGATAATAGGTTGGTAGGGATTGCCCAACCACCTGTTGTCTGTTCTACACACAAGTATACCACAGTATAAATGTATATGGCCTAACACCATCTTATATTGTTACTTAATATCTGCAAGAATGACATCATCTTGCATTATGATATGTACAGTAATACATATAACTGATATTTTAATATTACAAGTGGAAACAACATCATGCATAGCCCCACATATATATATTATCAGAAGGAAATCATATTTGCTAATGACAACTCCATCTTATACCGTCAAATAAAATAACATCTTATTTTGATGAAATAATATATCATCATCATATTTGACCAATTACAAGTTTTTCTATTCATATATATATTATTACGAGAAATTTTACCCTCTTATATTCATATTATAAGGTCAAATCCTTAGGACCTTTTGTTATCAAAGTAATTAAGATCTATACTAGAGGACCCCATTGGAAATAAGCTGCCACACAGCTTTCATGGGATATCCTAGGTTAAAGCTTAGTCAAACAGATACGTTGTATTTATAGTGCTCCAAAATTTGTGATATTAACTTTGATGTAATAATCTAAATACTGTGATAAATCTGTGATTATTATGTAATTGAAATCTGTGATCATATGTGATATTTGTACCTGTATCTTGCTTTTACCGAATAAATATTATTATTATTAAAGCCACTGCACTATTAATGTATGTATATTTGTATAAAATTAAAAATGGGAATTAATCATCTCCAGTTCTATGGGATCAAGGACATGTTATAACAGTACCACAAGCTCTTGGCCACACCTCAATGGATGTGGATATGTGGTTCTACGTATCAAGATCTCTTATAATTATATGTCTTTGTGGCTACATGTATATCTGCAATAATATAGAAGACTCAATTGCAAGGACAAGGTACAGTTGTATTTCCATGAAGGGAAATTCCCCAACTCATGTCACAGCTTGGTATACACAGAAAAATATGTTTTATGATTAAACTTTTATACAAACTATGACTCCTGCGATTATCAGGTAAATTTAGTGTGCATTAATATTTCCGGGACAATAATAATGCGAAATTTAAAACTGACCATAAAAAAGGGTATGTAAAAAAAGATGTAAAGATGTCAATTCAAAGGCTCATTCTTTTGATTGCTTATATTTTTTTTTTTTATTAAACCACGGAATTAGATTGTTATCTAAGTCCGTGATTAAACTTAGCTGTATCAGCTACATTTGCATTATTATCCAAGGGACATAACTCTTGAAGCACTAAAACACTTGCAGAGACCCAATGTAGAGAATGATAGGCTTGTTTGTGTCATGATAATCCAAGGCTAATGAATATCCTATAGCTAGAAACTTGTCTGAGAGATAGAAAGCTATATACATTTATATTATTATGTAGCTGAATAAAGTAAGATATCGGTAACAAGAATTTTCAATTGTGAATCAGATAAAAATAGTTGTAAAATTGGCTGCTAGCATATAGTGGCTTGTGATATAAATTATTTAAACAAAGTCTGAAGCAAAGAAATGTATGTGTACATAACTTGGAATGGTTAAGGAAGTACTTGAAAATGTCCTCTGTTTTGGAAACCCAAATTTCATATAAAAAGTAATTATATACCTGTAAATATAAGCATAAAATAACTTTCCCCGTTTTATTTTCAGATGCATTATTTAACCTCAAGGTAAGAGTTTTAAGTTGAATTTCCTACGTTATATATCTTAACAACATTATATTTGTAACTATTGATGAAGATGCTGGCTACCTTTCCTATAATATTTACAACTATCTGTCCTCCTGATCATCTGTGTATCACATAATGGTCAACTCAGATTTATTTTCTTACGCTTGCTCAAGCTTAGGTCTACTACATGAACATTCATATTATTGACAAACAGTATGGCGATGAAACTTGTAAATCATTGGCAACATATATATATGTATATATATTGAAGATTTCTGGTACATGATTTATACAAATAAATTCCATTTAAAGGAAATGTATTGTTACAAAAGTCAATGTTCATACATGTTTATCTAAAATGCTTTAACATTATTGTATATATAATAACTCATTTGTATATGGGTGACTGTTTAGACATGTTTTTACTTTTTATATGTTTTGTGTCACTACGTACATGTATTTATAATATATAAGTTCATGTGATGATTATCATTATGTATGTACTGGTAATAGTGAGAGAACATTATTGTGTTAAATTTCCCTCTTGCAACTTTACATACATTTGGATAGTGAAGTTATTTATGTGAGGTTTAAATCATCTGGAAAATGTAGATGTTGTTTAAATAATCCTTTTTTGTTGGACAGTTTAATACAAAGCAAATGGAAAGATTTGCAAGTAAAGCAGAAAAGGAACATGTCAAAGAAAAGGCAAAGGTGAAAAAGGTATGTGATATGAATGTTTAAATGTACAAGTAGTGATCATGAGTGATCAGAGAAAAATGCATCCAATCATAGCTATAATTGTCGATAGAGTCGAGGTTAACCCAATCATTGCTATAATTGTCCATAGAGTCGAGGTTAACCCGATCATAGCTATAATTGTCGATAGAGTCGAGGTTAACCCGATCATAGCTATAATTGTCCATAGAGTCGAGGTTAACCTGATCATAGCTATAATTGTCCATAGAGTTGATTTCAGTGACAATAAGCGACAGATCGTACACAGCATCCTGGTGAGGAGTGCCATACACAGCATCCTCCTGGTGAGGATGCCATACACAACATCTTCCTGGTGAGGATGCCATACACAGCATCCTCCTGGTGAGGATCCCATACACAACACCCTCCTGGTGAGGATGCCATACAAACCATCCTCCTGGTGATAGTGAGAATGCCATACACAACATCCTCCTGGTGAGGATGCCATACACAACATCCTGGTGAGGATGCCTTACACAACATCCTCCTGGTGAGGATGCCATACAAAACATCCTCCTGGTGATAGTGAGGATGCCATACACAACATCCTCCTGGTGAGGATGCCATACACAACATATTCCTGGTGAGGATGCCATAAACAACATATTCCTGGTGAGTATGCCATACACAACATCCTCCTGGTGAGGATGCCATACACAGCATCCTCCTAGTGAGGATGCCATACACAACATCCTCCTGGTAAGGATGCCATACACAACATCCTCCTGGTGAGGATGCCATACATAGCATCCTCCTGGTGAGGATGCCATACACAACATCCTCCTGGTGAGGGTGCCATACACAACATCCTCCTGGTGAGGATCCCATACACAACACCCTCCTGGTGAGGATCCCATACACAGCATCCTCCTGGTGAGGATCCCATACACAACACCCTCCTGGTGAGGATCCCATACACAACACCCTCCTGGTGAGGATCCCATACACAGCATCCTCCTGGTGAGGATGCCATACCCAGCATCCTCCTGATGAGGATGCCATACACAACATCCTCCTGGTGAGTATGCCATACACAACATCCTCCTGGTGAGGATGCCATACACAGAATCCTCCTGGTGAGGATGCCATACACAACATCCTCCTGGTGAGGATGCCATATATTACATCCTCCTTGTGAGGATGCCATACACAACATCCTCCTGGTGAGGATGCCATACACAACATCCTCCTGGCAAGGATGCCATACACAGCATCCTCCTGGTGAGGATGCCATATACAGCATCCTCCTGGCAAGGATGCCATATACAACATCCTCCTGGTGGGGATGCCATACACAGCATCCTCCTGGTGAGGATGCCAGTCTTTCACAGGAATTTACATACTTATTATAGGAAAAAATTGGTAGTTGAAAAGATTTTAAGAATTAAATATATTCATCCATTAGATATGCTGAGGTTTTTCAGGAATGAATCGACAAGTGTTGTATAAGGTAATAAGGTATGACTTATGAAGTCTTGTTGAATATTAATCAAGTACCAGCCAAAAGTGATTTTACTTAAAAAATGTCTGTTACATATTTTTTCAGAAACTGTATTAAAAAAAATGGTGTTGTGCAAGTAATAGAATGTTTGTGATATGATCATGATAGCCCGTCAATGCAACCATATTTATATAGTTACATGTATTGTTTATAATATAAGGTTTGGTAAAGTAATACATGTATAATGTATTACTATCCCAAATATACTCTATTGTTCGTGTGATACTTAAGGATGTACTCTTCTGAGGTTTCAGTCACGTTCAAATCTCGTTTTGATCTAGTAGACAGTAGCAGGTTTCCAGCCTGTGTGTAGTACTATTTTGTAAGAGTGAAATAGTAGATGATAATTATATAAAACAAAGTTCTGGTTTGATGTCATTATTTTTGCATTCCAGGCGATTGCACAGAAGAATGTAGAGGCTGCAAAGATTTATGCTGAGAATGCTATAAGGAAGCGTAACGAGGGCCTGACGTATCTGAGGATGGCTGCCAGGCTAGACGCTGTGGCTAGTCGCGTACAAACAGCTGTATCTATGAAAAGTGTAAGCACCGTATTCCGTCTTTGCGTATTGCAGAGTTATCTTCTCTTAAGAACTGAGAGCAGGTATTGATTGTTACGTCATTTGTTTTTGAGAGTAATATCATAAATTTTTGAGAAAACTACATAATTTTCTCACACGAACCATTGACTTAACAATCAATACCTGCTCTCAAGAGAAGATAACTCTGCAATACGCAAAGACGGAATGTATGGTTTGGTTTAAGCAAAACTATCCTGAACAAAACATCTTTGTACAACTATATATTCAATGTTGGGAATTTTTCGATGCAAAAGCTATTTTCTTGTGGTACTTAATCTATTGCAGAACATATAATATAAAAACTTGTAGTTATCATTTCACTACTCTAATCTCATTGTTTTGTTGATTCACTCATGTCACATGGCCATACTTGCCAACCTTTTGGTTTTCCATTGGGAAGCATGCTCAAAGTCTCCCTCCAAAATAGGGAGATTTGGCAAGTATGCACTGCATCCTGTTGGTGGTACAAATTTGCAAAATGATGTGTAAATGATTTTAAAATATGGGATAATTTTTGCTTTAGATACTGAACTTCAGTCTTTAGGAGGGGGGGGGGGGGCAGTAGGCTCAGAGGAACCATTCAGTGCTGTAATTAAGAAGCCCCTAAAATGGTTTAAACACCTATTCCCTTCTGTCATGTTCAGTTTTCTATTCTGAACTCAACTTCATTGATAGTGAACTGTATCACTATATGTTGTGTATTCTACAATGTAATAAATGACTTTACTGTCTTGATTGGCCATTAAACCATAAACTGACATGTTCAAAGTACATATTACATTTCTTGGTTCTGCTGAGTATGTCAAAGCTAGAATTAATGCTAATAAATATGTACATGTTTTACTACATAAACCTTTCTTTGTACAAAGGAAGGTTTCATGTAATAAAACTATTTATTTAAAGTGTTATCTTTATTGTACATGTTTAACAATTCATTAATAATTCTTTTTGGATATATATATGTAAATTTGATTGACATTTTTCTTTCTGACAGATGGTGAAAGGCATTGAAGGTGTATCAAAATCCCTGGAAAAGGCTATGTCTTCTATGAATTTAGGCGAGGTAACTATATATGAGGTGTAATTGAAGATCAATGTTACTGTGAAAGCATTAAAGTGAAGCTGAATATTAAAAACAGACTTGAGGTCATTCTTTGTGTAACTCTAGATCTTCTCCCCTACACCCATGATTAATTATCCCATATCCTCACTAGAAGTGCTTTCCATCCCACCCCTAGAGTATTTTTTTCAAGGTTAAAATTGGATTTTTATTCCCTGAGCATCTTTTGGGAGGGACGCCTTCCCCTAGAGTAGCTCTCAGGAAATGCAAGCTATTTATAGGTCACTAAATACGAGGTCACTTAAGGATGTACTCTTCTGAGGTTTCAATCACGTTCAAGTCTCGTTTTGATCTGGTGTAATGGGTTTTTGTAATATTTAACAACTTATGATCAAGTTTATTAGCAAACACGCATCTGAAAAATATGTCAAAAAACTAGATGCCTGTTGTTTGTAGAACTTTTTATACAAGAATTTAAAAAAATTACAACTTTATAATGTTCAATATGATAAAATTAATATGCAACAAACTGGAAAATTTTACATTATTGATAATTTTTTTACGTATTTAGTGTGACTGAAGCACTTTTGATTTTTGACCCCGAAAAAAGAAAAAATAACACAAATGATAATGGGACAAAAAAAGAAGCACACTGACCCCCCATTTTTGTAGATGTTTTAGAAAGAGAAACACGTTTTCATTTAATTCATTAGATATTGAAAAAAGTTAAATACCAGAACTTTTTATATCAAGCGTTTAATCTGTAAAAAAATGAGTATTTTATCATTAAAAAATAGGGGGTAGGGGTAACTAAAATCGGCTTTTTGAGTTAAAACAATAAGATTAAGAAATTTTACTTCCATAATTTAAAAGAAAATAATATCTTTATCAATTCTACAAACATTTATACATATCTGATAACACACTTGGAAGAAATTGTATGAATTTGTTCTGCAAATGGTCAAAACCCAAAAAATCACCTAAAATCACATGTTGTGGTAAATTGGTATCTTTGACCGATCATAGCACAAAAACGAGCACACAGACATATAGTTTTATTGCATTTTCTACTATGCCATTAACTCTTTTTTCCAAAAATCCATATAAGAAAAAAAGTTTAATACAGGAATTTTTTGACTTCTCAGAGGTGTACATCCTTAAGTTGATTTGTTAATATCTTTACCTCAAAAGAGGTAAATGTTGTAAATTTGATTGGACAGTATATAGTAATGTAATGATTTTGATAATAATTCAAAGTGACAGCCAACATGACTTTGGAATCAGTTGGACTAGAGAACGAAATATAAGTCATGATAATTTTGACACTTTGTTTCTAGCAACTGGACGAATGATGATTGGATTAACAAGACTTGACTTTAAATATATATCTGGTATAATTTTCATACATTTTGAAATGTTTGAGATATTAATACATCTCTGTTTTAGGTTGATAAGGTGATGCAGAAGTTTGAGCGACAATTTGAAGATCTTGATGTGCAGACATCAGTGAGTGATTCATATTTCCCTATGTTTATTGAGTTTGTTTTCCAGTCAAGTATGATTTGAATATTGTGATTTAAATTATTTGCTTAAATTAGTCAAACAATAGTATATTAAGATCAATGTAACCACAGTGAAATTTGATTTGAACAAAATCAAGAAGAAATCACCTGCCAGGAGACCAAATTCTACCTCAGCATTAATATGTTTTAGAGTTTGTATTTATGTGTATACAATACTGCATGATGAAAAGAGATTTCATTTGATATTTAAGATATGATTTCCAAATCAGTCACAATGTTTCTTTTATTAGAATGTACTTTGATGCTGTGGTAAATGCGTACTGAGTTTTATATGAGGTACTAAACATTTTCCGGTCAATTCTAGACACTAGAAAACACAATGAGCGATGCCACAACGCTGTCAGCACCTACAGAACAGGTGGACGACCTTATAAAACAGGTTGCTGAGGAGAGTGGTCTTGAGATGATGGACCAGTTAAGTGACCTCAGTGTGGCCAAAGACTCTGTCAAGGTCAAGGATAAGGAACACGCACGGGAGGATGACCTTAGTCGCAGGTAAGTGGTGTTAAGGTTGAAACTTGTGTAAATACTGATACAAATATTTTCCTGATACTGTTTTGACAGCAGAACATACTTCAGGGAAGGACATTTTCTTTTTTTTTCTTTTTTTTTTCTTTCAAAAAGAGCCTAAACCTGTAACTGTCCAGTACATGTATTATATCCTTATTTGTCCAACGTTTTATAGAATAGAAGCTAAGAAAGGAATGTTAAAGGAGAAGTACTGGCAAACAAATGGAAATCAAAATCTGATTAGTAACACTTCTGCAGATGAGCCCTATTGTTGTTTTAGTTTGACTCCGGTAAAAGTTACATGTCGAAAGTGGAAATAACTTATTACCTAGCCAATCTATATGGTATGTTGTAACTTCAAAAGCTACAATTTAAATAAGTTACGATGTAATAAATTATAAAACTTTCTTTTCAGATTACAAGCATTACGGAATTGAGGATTATCTATTTATGTTGGTGGAACAAATGTAATCTACGCTGTCTGAGAGAGAATGTTTCCCCTCTGTAACCCCTGACCAGAGAAGTTGCGAGCTTGAGAAACAATAAATGTACTGAGTGAATATTATTGATGTGGAAGTCATTGTTGTGAAATGACCATAGCTGGTTCAATAATGAAGGCAATAGACTCTTAAAGAGTTGTTTTTAACTAAATATGGAGGCTGATCGCCATGAATAGATCACCCAGTCCGTGTTAACGAAATAGAAAAGTGCCTCAACTAAAATTTCTCAGTGCTATTTTCAACTCTTTTATTTCAAACACTCTGTTTAAGTCATTATTGACCCCTTAAGAGTTTATTTCTATAATTACAAATCTCATATATCAATAAACAACTTTTCAGTGGAATGAGGCTAGGTCATCCCCTGTAAGTTAAGGGAGATAACCCACCTAAATTTTGAACATTTTCTTTATTGATTAAGGAAGAGGTCCCAGTGCTGTGTTGTTTCTTCAAGATTTATCTGACTTGGAATTACTAGCTCATTTACTTAAACAAAATTATACGTGTGTATGAAAGAAAAGAAAAAAGTATTTAAATATCCCGCCACAGGGATTTGATCTCCGGATTGTCCGACATCTTAGTTATAAAGCATATAAAGCAGGGAGCTTATCTGCTGTGCTGATGGTCTTGCTACTTGTTACGTTAGAACAATGTACGTTTGCTACTTGTTACTTTAGAACAATGTACGTTTGCTACTTGTTATGTTAAACAATGTTTTTTCTGCACCATCACTGGTAATAATTAATAAATGTTTAACCGCCTACTAAAGGCCTGCAACCTATAAATGTTTTCACAAATAATCTGTTCATAACATACATGGCTAGTATACAGCAGACAAGTAGTGGGACTCTCTACCTTAAATAATTAAACACCTCAAAGTCACCTGACCAGGGAGTCACAATGCCAATTTTATATAATTGAAATATTACTCTTAAAAATATGTACGGTATGAGAAGGATACTCACAAGTATGGTTATCATAATTATGTAAGTGGAGAGACTGTTATTCCTTGTTAATTTAAAACTTGAGAAAGCTAGGTCTTGTCCAATCAGGAAAGGTGAGAGTACATTTAATATGTGACAGCTTGATGTAAATGGCTGGATTGTATGTAAATGGCTGGATTGTATGTAAATGTGGGTGATGATAGATAGATTGCGAGAGTTTACATTCATTAACTAGTTGTATGTATGTGAACTTAACTCTATTAATTACTGATCATGAAATTTTAATTCTGTGTTTTATATATCAGTGAGCCATGCAAAGTGCTGTTGGATGTGTGCAAATTAGAAACATGTGCAGGTGGGAGAAATGATATATATTTTCAACTTAACGATATTCCATATACTAAGTATATATTCATATGGAATTGGTTGAATGTTTTTGTGATATTAAAAACTTAATTGTGTTCCATGCGAATTTAATATTATTCCTTTCTGTCCTGATTTTTATTTTCATTTGAAAGCTATATGACACTGTTGTAGTGTACTAGTTTGATAACAGCAAGGTCTTAGGTCCCTATTCTGCTGATTGAGGGATATTATTGTCTTTACAGCAAGAAATTTTCCTCATGTTGCTTAACTCCACCCACCTAGAACAGAGTTTAATATTACGTAATAATATGGCACTATAAATCACCTGTTTGAAATACAGTCAAGTAGCAAACAGATCACCAAATAAACGTCCACACATCAAATGACACAGGAAGGTACAACAAAGGGATTGTGTGGTAGGGTGTGCTCGAGTAAAGCTGCTTTACTGATCGTGTTGAATACAGATGTATAATGTCTGTCCTCTAACAATACAAAGGGCCTAAGAGTAATATCCTAGAAATCAGATAGGGTGCTAAACAAGTGTATACTTATTTCCTTTCATACCTTTTGAATATAACTTAGTACAGTATTTCATCTTTCATTGGGTAATTTAATAACATGAAACTACTTGTATACATAATGCAAACAGATCTAAGTTACAGTGAGAAATATAGCTTTTACAAATACATGTACCAAAAAGTTTGGTCTGGAAGTGCTATCACCTGGTCCAACTACTTACAGTGATTAAAAGTTAGTGACATTGTCAGAAAATGTTTAGGCTGCGACCATTATACACAATTACCCACGTAAAATGTACACAATTTACCTATACTGAATTTCTTTCTTCAGCAGAAAAAGAAATCTTCAAGTTTGCTACATGCAGCTATAGTACCATACTAAAGAGAGTGTGCTTTCTTCCTAGTTATATATAATTATGTTTTTATTTAGATACTTTATTTTAATTTATACATGTACATATTTTACAATTCTTGGTTAAAATGTTGATGATGCAGAAAATTTAAAATAAAACTTATGACTTTCATTTGTTGTATTTTCCTTAGTGAGTGTTCAAACTTACATGCTGGGGTCGTTTACATTTACTTTGATTTGCACTTATCATAAAACAGATTACAACTGGTATGCATCAATCATGGAACTCCCAGAAATAACACCAGTACATAACATGGGGATATTTAATAGCAAGTGTCAGCCATTTACAGTATTTGGGTGGCCAGTTTTATACACAGCAACAAACTTTTGCAGGGTACCCTTGTCCATCAACTGATTAGGCATACACAATCGAAGACTGACTTTAAACACAGGAACTTTATTTCAATAATGGGTAGTTTAAAAAACCCGATAAATACTTGGTCACATTAACAAATTTCATAGAATCATATTTTAAGGTGTTTTGTTCTCTCACTTTGTGATCCAGTGTAATTTTCAGTTTGGGGGTAAATCCTTTCCATATCGACAGCAATTCAAATTGTAATGAGCCATGCAGCAGAGGTATATGAAAGCAAGAGGCCCAAGGGCCTTAGCGGTCACCTGAGTTATATCATAGGTACTGGTAGCTTTATTTTATTGTTTAGTTGTGATATGGATCTCAGCTTGTAAACAAAGTTAAAAACAATACTTATAAGAATTTTAAATATTGGTAAATGTTAACCCCTTTGGGGCCCCGCCCTAGCTCCAGGGGATGGGGAAGGAATACCAAAAGTGTTATTTCCCTATATATACTATAGTAAACTTTACCCCCTCCCCAAGAGGGAACGGATGGCCCGTGGGTCCTGAAATTTACAATTTAAATAAAGCCCCCGATGATCTTTCCATCCATATAGAGAAAATTGACTGTAGTACCTCTAAGTCTGGAGAAGATTTTTGAAATACTGATCAATTTTCCCTTTGGGGCCCGCCCTGGCTCCAGGGGTCGGGGTAGGAATCCCAATTTTACAATTGTGTAGCCCCATCTACCAAGGATGATTCTGACTTAAGTTTGAAAAAATTCCATCCACTGGTTCTTGAGAAGAAGTTGAAAATGTAAAAAGTTTACTCACAAAGGACGACGATGGACGGAAAACGGTCAGAATAGGTCACTTGAGCAAAGCTCAGGTGACCTAATAAATCTATTATAAAACAAGAGGCCGAAGGGCCTTAATAACTCAACTGGAATTTCATATTTGAAATTAAAACCTTCATAAAGTGTAGAGTTTTTTTCTAAAGAAGCTATTTGAAGTTTTTGTCATACAAAATGTATTTCAGTTCTTCTAAAGAAATTGTTTAATTTTTAGCTCACCTGGTCAGAAGGACCATGGTGAGCGTATGCCATACCGCAGCGTCCGTCGGTCGACTTTTCCTTTAAAACGCTACTAGTCCTGAACGGCCTAGTAGATTTTGACTAAATTTGGTCTGGAGCATTCCTTAGGTCAAGGGGACTCAATTTTGTGTAAACAGTGGGTGTGGCCCCCCTGGGGGCAGAGATGCGGGGCCCAATAGGGGAAATAGAGGTAAAACCTTTAAAATCCTTCTTCTACCGTAGGGATTTAAGGGGTTTTATCCTAATTTAGTCTGGAGCATACTTGGGCCAAGGGGACTCAATTTTGTATAAATGGTGGGTCTGGCCCCTCTGGGGGCGGGGCTCAATAGGGGAAATAGAGGTAAAACCTTTAAAATCCTTCTCTTCTGTAGGAATGAATGGATTTTTTCCATATTTGGTCTGAAGCATCCTTGGGTGAAGGGTAACCAATTTTGTATGAACCGTGGGTCTGGCCCTCCTGGGGCGGGGCCCAATAGGGGAAACAATTTTTTTCAAATCCTTCTTAATCTGTAGGAATGAAAGAATTTGGTCTGAAGCATTCTTGGGTGAATGGGAACCAATTTGTATAAATGGTGGGTGTGGCCCCCCTTAGTTCTTCAAAAGAACCATACCAAGGCATAAAGCTCACTTTGAACCAAGTGAGCTAAAAATAAAACTTAAAATCAGATATATTTGTATACAAAACAAATACATTGTTTTGTACCGTTTAATGTCTTTCTTCATCTACCTAATGTAGCAAATGAATAATGTAAAACCTGCATGGACACTCAACTCAAAAACGAAAATATTAGGGTAGGACCGGCAGTACATGATCTATATTCCTTGGTATCACATACAGTGGTGAACATCACAATAGATCAGAACAAGCTGTCAAGGAAGCTGTTACACAACCAATACAGCTTTTTGCCAACTTATCAGAAAATAGATTCAAGAATGTTAATTGAAGTAAAATATATCGAATGTGAATCATAACAATAGTTTCACTACCTTATCTTTTGATACCTGATCAGACACTGTACACATGCATACTACATACAAGTCACATTTTTTTTCTATAGTTCAAAAATCAAACAAACAATTGTATGTTGGTGTCTGTTCTACGTCACTTTACTTCCTCAATCACTAATGGTTTTTCTGTCCCTATATCAGCCTCGTCTACGAATTCTGTTCCTCTGCAGCGCCGACCAGTTATAGGATCCACCACACAGCCAAGTTTGAACACAATATGATCCACTTCATGTGTCACTTTGCTCTTGTCCGCATTCCTGGGAAGAGATTTGATCAGCACTATGTCACCTATCAGACAATCCTTGGAATTATCGTCAACCCAAATGGACCTTTTAGTGGAGAAATACTGAAAATGAAAACAAGTTATATTTTCTTTTCTCAAAAACAATCTAAACCTTTATATCAAAGATCAGCCAGGAGACATCCACTTTTTTAGTTAAAGTAAGGGGTATCTAGCGTTCTCAATACAAGTAAACTTGTTTGCTGGCAAAAGTAAGTAGTCAACTTTGAACTGGTTATATTTTCTGAATACGATGATTTTATTGTGACTGTACTGTCAATTGGCTATGGGTTGCACTGGGTGTGAATCAAACTTAATAGTCGAAAATGTTCAGCTTTCAAAGTGCTTGCTTCCATTCCAAACGCAGTTCATAACCTACTGTATAGATCTGTATAAATAATGTGTACGCATACTTTTAATGGTTATTAAAAAGAACTTTTTACAAGAGTGGACACGCTAATATGATGTGCATACACTCTATAGTAAGGATATATACACCATTTACTACATTAATTATTTTATATCATTTTCAGTACAGCACCCGTGCTCAGTTGAGAGCACTTGTACTTCTTTTCTGATTTGAGTTCGAATGAATCCTACTTTAGTGAAAGGTGGTCCGAGTTAACTGACTATCTCATTTGAAAAATATATCCCACAAGAAATTGAGTTATACGCTCAGATGTTTCGGGCTGTGTGAAACTGAGAGGATGTAATTAACTAACTTACTGATTTCAATTCTTTGTCAAGAATCATCTTTTGGGTGTCAACTTTCAGGGAATTCGGATTTGCGGTACTCCTCTTCACAACATGTCCTATGAACATTGAACCAATTGATCCTTTGCCGGTAAAGCCTCGTAGAAGTCCTACATACTTTGACATTTTCGTATACGTCCTCTGAGGGAGCCACTCTCCGCGCTCTCCTCGTTGCGTTGTTAACTCAGTGTTGTAGACAGTAGACTGTTACCTGATCAATGTGTTACCTCAGTGTAGTAGACATGCGGATTAAAGAAGCGTCAATTAGATGAAGATTAACAAAACATCGACCCGCATATTAAAAAAACTTTCAAGAGACTAAGACACTAAAAGTATTCTAATAACAAAGAAAGCATTGGAGAATACGGAAACCGGTACTTTTTGTATAAATATTGACCCTATCTTCATCGCTGTCTGTTCTAAATGAGGAATTATTAACAATACCAATATTCCTTATTTTGTTTCTTCAAAGCGAATACAATTATTTTACTAGAATTTGTGTCTTTTTAAAGAAAAACTGAGTTGTTTCCCCTGCATTTAACATCCAGCATCTGTTGCAGCCATGAAACAGTTACCGTTTCGCTTGATGTGTTATGCTGATTGTAACAAGCAGCTGGTAATGATATATACAATATTTTGTATATGAACTACACATGCACACATCTAGAAAAATGCACTTTGTCATGTTTTATCACACAAACTTATTAATTGATGCAGTTATTTTTTTAGAATAGTAGGACATGACTACAAGCAGCATCACATGAGTCTGGCGTTTTATCAATATAACTATAACAATCTTTATATTTTATATTCATTTTGACAAATCAGTCAGTTGTTATGTATAGCAGACTGCTCTCAGCTAAAGGAATAGGATTTCTAGCCAAGTCTGTAACAATTGACCAGATGATTCACCTTTAGTTCTCACAACTATTTACTTGGTCAGATGATTGTCCATGACAGTGACCCTGCGTGCCAGTCTTGTTCGACAATATAAATGCTGCCTTTCTATAAGCAGACTGACCAATTCACTAAGTCTCTTAAAATGTAACAGTTTGATGATAAGCAGATTAAAAAAAACAAGATGATGTCTGCTGCTTTCAGAAAAGACATATTAAAATAAAAAGATATATTTAATGTAGCGGAAGTGGACTCAGGGTTAATTGTCAATATAATGAAAAAAATAAATAATTAAATGCTGAAAATATACACTAAAATGTTATGTTTTAGAGACTGAAGAGGTCAGACTATATAAAGAGAGACAATTGTTTTCTATACACAGACTACCACTAGAAGATAGCTATAGCTAGCTACCACTGACTGTGAAGCTGGCATCTGTTTATCTGAACTAAGTCAGATATGGATGACTCTAGCTGTCAAGAAGATCAACAGGCCCGTCAAAGCTTCATGGTCAAGTCTGTGTCCGGGGAGTTTGACAGTGGTGACCACATGGAAGAGACGGAGATGACTACTCCACTGACCTTGTTCACTGATGACATTACACCAGTAGGAGGTCGGGAACACTCCCTTGACCACCTTGCATTTCTTCCTCGAGGTGACCAGAGGATATCTTGTCGCGGTAAGTGGTCAATACATTAGAGCCTTATCAAGGCAATGACACCATCAATAACCTGTAATAATTGTAATAGTCATTATTACAATTATTATAATTATTAGTAATCCACAAATTTCTTACTACAGATTTGATATATGGAAAGGACTTCGTCTCAACTTAAAATATCCATTATTAGCTCACCTGGTCCGAAGGAGGACCAGGTGAGCTTATGCCATACCGTGGCGTCCGTCGTCTGTCCGTCGTCCGTCCGTCCGTCCGTCGTCCGTCTGTCCGTCCGTCCGTCAACAATTTCTTTAAACGACTTCTTCTTCTTAACCACTGGTTGGAATTAAACTAAATTTGACTGGAAGCATCCCTAGGTGGTGGGGATTCAAAATTGTACAAATGGTTGGGCTGACCCCCCAGGGGGCTGAGGGGCGGGGCAAGAAGGGGTGAATTTGCCCATATTGCTTTAAGCGACTTCTTCTCTGAAACTAAGAAGTGGATATCAACCATATTTGACTGGAAGCATCCCTAGGTGGTGGTGATTAAAAATTGTACAAATGGTGGGGCTGACTCCCCAGGGGGCTTAGGGGCGGGG